AAGACAGCAGGGAGACTTTTGGAAAGCATATGTTCCGCACATCACATTACTTTGCTCTTCAAACATTTCATTGCTTTTTATTGTGCTTCCAGGTGCAATTCAATATACTTGTGTTGATCTACAAAGTTCTAAACTATGTGAGACCAGGAAATTTGAAGTAACATTTATTTCCATATTAATGTTAAAGCCAAGAGTCTATTTGAATTGTGGTAGGATATGAATGCAAGAAATAAACATTGATAATTTATTATCATCACTGGAAACCAGATTCTATAGCATAATTACCGAATTTACTACCAAAGAAGAAAAAAATTGGCTCTCTTCTCATTCTGCTTTCAACAAATAAATATTCTCATTGTCAGAACATGTAGTGTATGTAGAGCTCTCTGGGCTCCAAAGCAAAACTCCAACAAGGAGCTGTGCTATTTGAGAGTTAAGTTGTTGACTCTCTCGCAACTGAGACTGATTGAGAGAAAGGGAAGAGAGGCATCATGAGCTGCTTCTTCTCTGCTGCTGTCACAACATGCTTAAGCCTCACAAGGATCTCCTCTTACTTTCTTACATCATTGCAAAGCATCCCATTCCTGGCTGAAGAATAGGAGGTGACTGTCAATAATGGCGTCACTATTGTTGTTGAGGCAACAGCTTACTTGTGAACAACAATGGAGAATGATGTAGTAGCGGCAGCTCTATCCTCACAAGTCATTCTTCTCTTGCTGAAGCACTGTGAGACCAGGTTTGTTTCTTTGAAAGATTGAAGGTATGGAGCAAGGGAGAAATTGTGAATATTTTGTATTTCTGAGCTTGTGTGGGTAGAATCATTAATTTTTAACTGGGAAAGGCCTTGCCTTTGCTATTTGTATGCCCCTGCCTTTAACTCTGCAATGCTATGTTGCTTTTTAAATTAAACACCCCTCTGAAAGTTGGCATTGTATTGCTTGATTGTATGGTAAGTGTTGATGTTTTTATTGCAACAAGTACGTGTCAACTTATGACCATAAATGGGATGGCAATTTTGGTCATTGAGTAATACGGCCATTAAACGTCATTAGGTGACTGGACTGGCGTGTACTACCAATTTTGTATGTGGTTGTTAAGTGAATAACAGTGTTTGTTAAACGAATCTAACTTCCTCCATTGACTTTGCTTGTTGGAAGATGGATGGGAAGGTAACAAATCATGACCATGACCGCAAGATGCTGCAACCATCATAAATGTGAGCCAGTTGCCAAGCACTCAAATTATGATCATGTGACCTTGGGTGGTGCATTGGTTGTAATTTTGAGAACCATTATGGTCATAAGTCATTTTTTCAGAGGCCGCCATAACTTTAAACTAATGATATAATGATAAGCAAATAAATAACCATTGACATAATAAGCAAATAAAAGTAGAGTAAGAATTAGTTTCCCAACTGATAAAAACATATAAACAACCTATGTAAGCTTCCTTGTTATCAGGACAGAAATCCACTTCCTTATCAATTTGTCTGAAAGTTGAGAATTTTAATTTATATACTATTCTAAATTGAAAATAATTAATTGCTGAAATTCTAGTAAGCCCATCCTGTCTATCTCTATTAATTTTGCTAAAAAGATCTTTGTGACAATCATACCTCTAAGAGTAAATTTCCATTTAAGTAGTTGTCAATGAGTCTGACAGTAATTTCAAATAAACTTTTTTTCTACAGCTTTAACTTCCCATATACTATTGATTCAACTATATAATGAATGCATATCAAAATTCTGCAATTAATGTAACTTACTACAACATGTAAAAACTTTTACTAGCTGTTAGAAATTTGTAAATTTTTACAAATGTAGTTTTCCTGGTACTTTATTCAAGTGGGAAAAATTAATTTAGTTTATTGTTTACTGATTAGTCTGAGAAAATGGAACTACAGAAACCAGAAAACCTGCTTTTTTTCGTACAACAGAAACAGCTTGCTTTGCAAAGCCAATACAATATATAAAATTTGTGTGATGAGGAGGTCCAAAAAATTTATGTCCTTCCATAATCTACAATGCAATACCTTTTCCCAGTTAAAAATTACTAGTTTAATTCTACATATAAAAACCACTAGGTGATCAGATCATATTATTTGGTCTTTAAAGTATTTTGATAATTAAAGGAAACTTGAATTATTTTAAAACTATTGAAACAAAATTAGTAACTAGCAATATTATTAATACTCTCATTCAGGCATATTTGAGGATTTTTTTGTTACGATAATACTGCTCAAAAATATTTTCCCCAGGAATGCTTGCCTTATTTAATGCCTCTTTAGTTGGATCAGGTAATGATTTGGAGAATTTTTGATGAGTTCAGTAAACATGTGTCTCCTAAGGGGAAAAACTCTTCAATAGTTCATCTTGTTTTAATAAAATGGTTACAATTTGTTTTTATTTTTATTATTCTATTTTTTTGGTTTTGATTATAAAGATTTTGTTTAAAAATATACTCCTTTGTAAATTACTTTAGAAATCCCTCTGATAACAAAACAGAATGGTAAAAAGTAAACAGAGAAAATGAAAAAAATCATTAGATAGCCTGATCATCTAGCACAGTGGTTCTCAACCTGTGGGTCGGGACCCCATTTGGGGTCGAATGACCATTTCACGGGGGTCGCCAAACAACGCAGTCCGCCATTTTTTCCCCCTTTTCCTTAGCTGTGCTACTCCCTTTTATTCTATTGGCTTTTGAAAGCCAATAGAATAGACTCTCTTGAATAGAGTCTAATTCTATTGGCTTTCAAAAGCCAATAGGAATTGTCCAGGCTGTCTCTGCCCTGCTGAGCCCGCCAAAAGTCCCATTCTGCAAACGGTGCTGCACCAGTTGAGTAGTCCTCGACTTACGACCGGTTGAGTAGTCCTCAACTTACGACCGGTTGGGGGGTCGCGGCATTAAAAAGGGTGAGAACCACTGATCTAGCAGTAATCATTACTTCAAAACAGTCTTGTTTCAGAAGCAATGTAGAATATGGTTTGTGAGTATAAAACTGACTAAATAGGTATAAAACTAATACAAATATATAAGTAGGTACAAAACTCCAGAAAACAATAGGACATATTCATGTTAAGTCTTCAGCCCCACTATTAAAAATTGAATTATGTCATGATAAACTTTAAGGTAATATTACTTTATCTATTTAGAAAAGAAAAGCAGGCAAAAAGCTACTACAAAAACAGAAGACACTTTCAACATTGCAAAAAAACAAAGAAAAGTTAAGTATACTCATTTTAACTCATTGTATCAAACAGATATAAAAACCATTAAGTTTTCAGAAAGGAAACTGCGAAAACAGGCAAGTTTGAACATGAGCCACATGTTCATGAAACTAATCAGTTTCATTTTCTGCATCTCAACTGTAATGATTAATATTCTCTGATCTTTTCCTTTTTTAATGGATTCCTGAAAACTGTTCTCTTGCCTGTCCTGAGATGAGCTTACCTATTTTTTTCACATATTAATATAACTGCAAATACAAACCAATTTCTTTTACATCTTTTCATTTTTGGTATCATTTTAAACAAAAATGTCACATGGACAAAATCTTATTTATAAAGTGAGCAAAGATGAGGATAGCATAGGCATCAAAGTACTTTATTTGTTTGGCTCCACATAGAATAATTATAACAGTTTTTAAGCAGAGTGGGGAAAGATGCTCCTTTTCAAAGATGTGCTAAAACATGTTATCAATTTTTGAGATAACTAATTCCTTCAAGCTGCGATAAGAGATTTTAAGAGGTTTTCCTTACACCAAAAAGCACATCAATGTTTTAAAGAATATTCAAATGGCAGTAAACTATACTACTATCAACTTTGAAACAATACCCCATTACTTGTAGGAATCAATCAAAGGCTATATGGTAGCATAAAGAATTAAAGTAAGCTCTCCTAGTCAAGCTCATCTACATCCATATGCTTTTCGCTTGGCAGCAAAACAGAAATGGTTTGCTATTATTCTTTTCTGGGTGTTTTTTCTAGTTTCCTCTCTAGCTTATAGATTTGGTATCCCTTGGTGGTGTTCCATCCAACTCTTCACCAGGCCAGTCCCTGCCTAGCTTACACACCCACAAAAAGCTGGACAGGTGCCGCCACCTCCTGCCCAGCCACCCTGAGCAAGTCTGATAAGTTGCTCAATCCTACCATGAGTCTAAAACACCATTTTGAGTTTCTGAATTTCAAGGGATGGGGGGAGAGGGAGGGACAAACATTACAGTTCTGGCAAATTACAACCCCCTCCCCATCCCAGTCCAAGCTGAGAATGGCCTTTTCCCAGTGTTCCCAGGCCAAGAATTTAACCTGTTGGAAAGTATCCTGCCACTCTAAATGCTGGAGCACCAGAGCTCTCCCCCCTTCCAAGACTTTCAAAGATTAAAACACCCAACCGTCGGAAGGGGAGGGGGCGCTTCAGCAAAATAAGCCTCTCTGATTCCCCAAGTCGCCCCATGAAGCTTTCGGGTCTCCCCAGATCTCCCTTTCCGCCGCCCACTCTTCTGCGATGGGGGGGGAGACAAACAAGGGGGCAACTTGGGTGAATCCCGACTGTCCCAAACAGGAAGAAAGCAACAGCCTTTTTTTCTCTTCTCCTTCGCAGGAAGGCACCTCTCATCCCAGAAGGAAGCGAAACGGTTATGTCAACGTTTCTCGTCGCCCCCCCCCCTCCGCCCAACCCATCCCGCCACGCCGGGTCCCGCAGGGCCGGGGCGTCCTCACCGACCCCCGGGGGGGGGGGAGCGCGAGTTCTAGGCGCAAGACGCCACCCAGGCCCATCTCGGGACTTTCCTCCCATCTCCGTAACTAACTTGTGGTGAAGCGAAAGGAAAAGGAGGGCAGCGGCCGCGCAACAAGTTCCCGGTTGGCCCCGGACTCGACTCATCTCTTTTCCCTCTCCAGCCGCCGCTTCTTCCTGTTCCTCCTTCTCCTCGGTCTCCCTCCCTCCTTCCCATCCTTTCCTTCCATCCCCTCGCCGCCACCCGCGACTCTCCCTCACTTACCTCCGCCATGTTCGCCGCTCAGCTGGGGCGGGCCGAGCCTGGAGAAGGGAATCACATCGCCGCCGCGGCGGAGAGGAGGAAATGGCACGGGAAGGCTGCGGGAGCGGCGGCGGCGGCGGCGACGGCGGCTCACAGGCTCTGGGACGCGGCAGCAGTGGATGCAGGGAGGAGGGAGCGGGAAGCCACCAGGGGGAGGAAGAGGCCCAACGTCACCGCGCAAAGGAGGTGGGCGCGCCCGCGACACCGCCTCTCCGCTCCCCCGCCCGCTCGCTCGCTGGCTTGCTTTTGCCTGCCTTCTCTTTCTCTGCCAGCGCGAGCGCTTCAAGTCACGAGACGGCGGCCTCCGCTTCCCGGCGTCGCGCTCGCGGAAGGCTCTTTCCCCCCCCCCCGCGCCGAATACGGGAAGAGAAATGATCTCCTCGGGACTTCGCCGCGTCTCCGGGGGACGTTTGTAAAAAAAAAAAAAAAAGTGTTTTAAACGGGCTACGCACGCGCAGTCCCCACCCAGAGCGAGGTCCCGACTTCTCAGGGCGGACGACAGTTCCCACACGTAACGCTGGGCCGCCAAAAATGAGCACCTCGTACAAGCCCGCGACTCAACACACCCGCCCAGACGGGCCGGGGTGAGTCAAAAGCTTCCGCTTTGCCAAAGTTACCCCCTCGGCGCTCTCTTCGCACGTTTCCTTTCGCTCATTTCCCCCACAGTAGAAGAACGGAGCCCAAATTCTTTCCATACTTGAGTCAAAGAAGTAGCGATAGCCACTTCCCGTATCGCAAATGAGCAGGGATAAGAGCAAGAAGCGGGGAACTCATAACGGGGAAAGACCTAAATCCACTCCCTCTACTCCAGAGCAGGCTAGCGCTGCCTTTTATCTTTCCCGAAACGCAGGAAGAGTCGACCAGGGCTTGCCCGGTCTCTTCTCTCCCCCCCCCGGCTAGTTTCTTCACGTACCTGTTTGCCCATGGTCTAAGAAGGGCAGCTTCTCCGTCACGAAGACGGGAGCGGGGACTAACAGGTGGGAAACGCAGCACCGGAAAAAGGGACCAGCTTCTTGCTTGAAGCATAGCGTTGCTGCCAAAACTGAATGGCTCCTTTGCCGTTTGTTTTCTGAAAAAAAGTTATCCCTAAAGGGAAGATTATGTCAGCCAGGGTAGTAATACTAGCCTCGCGTTTCCAGTTGGGAAAGGATACACTGGTAATTATTTTAGTTTTGTAGTATTTATTTATTACATTATACTGTCTCATGTGGGTAGTCCTCTACTTACAACCATTTGTTTAGTGACCGAAGTTACAAGGGCACTGAAAATAGTGACTTGACCTTTTTTCACACTTAGAACTTGCAGCATCCCCATGGTCACGTGATCAAAACTTGGATGCTTGGCAACTGGCACATATTTATGAGGTTGCAGTTTCCTATCATAGTCATCTGACCTGACAAGCAAAGTCAGGCCAGAATCTGAAGCCAGATTCACTTAACTACCATGTTACTAATTTAAGAGCTACAATAATTCACTTAAAAAACTGTGGCAAGAAAGCTTGTAAAAGAGGCAAAACTCAGCAACTGTCTTGCTTAGTAAAGGAAATTTTGGGCTTAATTGTCATAAAGTGAGGACTACCTGTATATTTAAAAGACAATGTAGAGAAAATAGCAATAGCACTTAGACTTACAGACTGCTTCACAGTGCTTTACAGCCCTCTCTAAGGGTCAACATATTGCCCCCAACAGTCTGGGTCCTCATTTTACCGACCTTAGAAAGATGGAAGGCTGAGTCAACTTTGAGCCAGTGAGAATCGAACTGCCAAACTGCAGGTAGCTGGCAGTCAGCAAAAGTAGCCTGCAGTACTGCATTCTAACCACTGTGCCACCACGTTCATAAAAAGAGCCAAGAGTGCAAGTGTCATAGGAGACAAGGATTAAAGCGACTGATTTATGGTTTGCCATTCTGTGTATGTGTGGGGAGAGGGCTCAGGTTACAATTCAGCATTTTGCAACCACTCCCCCCAAAGCAAAAGGATTTCCTTTTGGGGGTTCTTAGAACTGTATCCGTTGGGCCATCACAGTTTGATGACATAGTGCCGACCAAGCAACCTGGGTCTTCTGACATTTAGTGGCTGAAAATATTCCAGAGCTGTTTAACATTGTTAAGGACGTAAAGACGGCCCTTTAACCCATTAGGAAAAAAAAACCCCAGCGCTGCCTGTTTTGTATCTACTGATTCCAGTGGGAACAGTCTCTAGTTACATGCAACTATTGCACTCTCCAATAAATATGCATAAGATTCTACTGAATACTGCTGAACTCAGCAGGCTTTCCAACAGGACATAAAATGTTGCACTGTAAATGTGAAGATGAAAGCAGTGGAATTTCAATATAATCATAAAAGTGCATTGCAGTACAATCTGTTCTGTTGAAATCCAGGATGTGGTTTTATTACTGTATGTCTTAATGTGTCTTCTTGAAGACTTATTCTACGAATTACCAACTATGTAGAAGGGACATTTGAAGAATGTAAATATAGACAGTGCCGATATTGGGTATGAAATTAAAAAAGATAAATCTTTAGATCCTGTTGTATGCAAGCCATGATACATAGATATGCCATAAACAATTACCCCTAATTTGCAATTGGGATGGTGGTGTTCCTTTGACTCAGTTTTGACTCCTGATGGCTGCCTGAAAGTCCACGCCATTTTCTTGGCAAGATATTGGAAGTGGTTTGCATTACCTGCTTTCTAGGGCTGAGAGAGAGAGATGGGCCAAAGGTTGCCTCGCTGACTTAGTGTACTAAAGGTGGGACTAGCTCTCATCATCTCCCAGTTTCTAGCCTGATCTCTCAATCAGCAAACTGCTGACAGACTAATTGGTTGTATGGCACGTTTATATATTTCAGTAAAAAGGAACACAGGAATAAAATATAAAACATAGAAATAATAAATAATTTGCAACTATTCCCAAATAAATATCCATATTTATTTGTATACCTCCCAGAATCATATAATTTGAATTGGATGACTATATAAATGCTTAAATAAATACATCTTTAAGATGAGAATTTAGTGTCTTGTCTGATTATATTATAAATTGAGTTGATTTGAACCCACTGTTTGCTAGTAACAATTTTCAAATTTGCACTGCATATTTATTTTAGTTTTGCTTATTAGTTGGAATATAGACTTTCACAACTAATTTGTTCTTTCAGTTCAATTTAAGAGTTATTTGACTGTGCAGATTAGCTTGGTAGCAATTGAAACCTAATTTGGGTAGCAGATTATTTTAAAGCAATCATGAAACGTTTTATTTTATTTATTTAATCTATGCTATATGTCACCCATCCCTCTGTCAAGTGACTTTATACAATATGACATCTTTAGCAGAGGTAGAGTCTTGTGATCCCTGGAGCAGTGATACATGATTGCTGAAAACTGGCTACAATACATTTTTTTTCAATTTTGGGGAGGGAATAAATTAAAATTAAAGTGTTGTCCCTAAAACAGACACATAAAACTCTTTAAAATGACAACACAGCCTTGCCTACTTTGTGGCCCTTAATTCCTCCTGTGTTTAGCATGGTCTTGAGTTTGGATTTGTCTTACTACTGGTTAGATATTTTTAGGATTTTCAGCTTGTTTTAGTAGTAGTTGCTGCTTGTCAAGGACACTTGACTATACTTCTTAGCTCGATCAAGTAAATGGCATTGAACTGACACCTAGTTTATCATAGTGGGTCATTGATATATTCTGTTTATTAGTATCTTTTTGTTTTATAATAGGCAAAAAATGAGTCAGTTTTCTGAAATATGGGAGTACTATCACAATTTTCAGTCCTCTTTGGGGAAAAAAATGATTGCATCTTATCTAGAGATTCTTAATCTGTATACCACTAAAACCTCTCATTGTCATAACTTTTAACTGGGTGAAATGGTGCCTCGTAGGGCAACAATTTTTGAACCAGATACCTGACATAGGCTAATATACAGAATGTATTCAAAATCTAGGTTCCATGATTCTTGAATCAATAAAATTTGGGGACCACCAGCAAAGCTTGCCAAGATGTTCCAGAACAATTTGCCAACATGTTGGAAATGTAAAAAAGTACATGGAACATATTATCATTTATGGCGGACATGCCCAGTTGCGAAAAAAATACTGGACTAAAATAAGAAGATGGATCAAAGAAATAATAGACCAACCCGTAGACTGGAAACCAGAGATCTTTTTGCTGGGTATTTTAAACAGAAAATATAGTAAAGAAATATGGTATTTAATTCTACATATAATAATGACAGCAAGAATAGCATACGCACAGTTCTGGAATAATGAGAATATACCATCAGAGGAAGAAGTGATAAGGAAAATCCTGGACTGTGCTGAGATGGATAAATTAACAAAAGAAATAAAAGAAAAGGAAGATCCAGAGTACTATTTAATATGGAATAAGTGGTATGATTGGTTGGAGACTAGAAATAATAGAGGAGAATAAATGTGGAAAGGTCAAAAGTGGAAAATATGTGTATAATAATGTATAGTAATAATAATATGTATTATTTTAGTATGAATACTATAGTATGAAGGAAGAAAAATACAAACAAACAACGGGACAACAAGGACAAATATATCTAAAGAAGAATAAGGGGGGGAAATGTAAATAATAGATTACCGTTACGAAATTGCTGTTAAAAAAAAGGAGGAGCACACACTGTGTTTGTATGTGTGTTATGTTTTGTTTTGTCTTGTTTTGTTGGTTTAAAAAATAAAAATTTAAAATAAAAAAAATTATTTAAAAAAAGAATAAAATTTGGGGAAGTTGTGACTGCTTCAGTGCTACTAGCTGCTCTTGGGTTGCTACTGCAGCCACATGATCTTCATTTTAAATATTCTGTGCAGTTTCCCAGTGAATCTCACAATCCCTTGCTTCCTCATTTACTCTGTAATGATGAATTAACTCATCATGTGGCTCTTAAAGAAGCAATAGCTTTAAGGTGCAAGAAGAAAGGCCTAGATATTTTTATTGATTTTGTGCTTGTTCTCTGCACACAAACATGCACATGTATCTATATCCCATCTTTGTTCAAAAACTCAAGGCAATACATAGAGTTCCACATTCCTACTTTTCTTCACAACAACCTTGTGAAGTAAGTTGGGCTGAAATTCATCAAGTGAGCAGCTGTGGTTACAGAAAGAGTAGAAACTGGATCTCTCTGATGTCAATCAAATACATTAGCCTCTATATCTTATTGGTTCATTTTTCAACTGTTTCCTCCTCTCAAACTGATGTAGATTGGCCCCTCTTCCAGCTACCAGAGAAAAGATAGACTTGT